CAAGGTGAAACCCCAAGTCCACAGGCTTGCAGCCCCCTCTGCATAAATTCCCACGGTTTAGGATCCATGATTGCAGCTGCTCTTCCTTGGGCTAATATATGGATTATTTATATAGCCTCTCTCTACACTCAGAGGGTTCCCTTGAGAGATCTAATTGTGCACTTGGAGGGAGATCTGAATAATATTTACAATTAATTTTCACCAATAAAGCTGCATGCCGAGCTTGTGTGTAGCAGCACCGAGCCCAGGGTTGGTTTCCCGCTGACGGCTCCCCTGAGAAGGTCTGGGCTGTGTTGAACTCTCTTCTTGAGAGCCCCCTTGTGCCGTCCTTCCCCAGTTCAGCCACTGTCTCGCTCTGTGAAGGCTGCACCATCTGCCTGGCCTCCCTCCCTTCCTCCTCTGACTTCCCCCTGCAGAGCAGGCTGGGACATCGTGTCACCAGGCAGGTCTGGGCAGGTACCACCCCTGTATATGCCCTCCCCTTCCTTCCAGGGTGAAGGCCCTGCCCTCCTCTCTCCCTTCCTGGTCCTAAGTTTGCCCCTTCACCGGCTGTAGCCCACGCTCCCTTTATAATCCCCAGTAATCATTGCTCCCTCCCATAGCAATACCACTGCCCACATCGTCCCCCCACCTAAAGCACCAACGTCTTGGTGTCCCCCGCCCCATCAAATCAATGCCCACCCCTCTTCCACACAAATATCTCTGCCCAAGGATGTTTTCTTGGCCTTCAGAGTGGGCCAGCCCCTCTCCAGCATGTGGGTGGTCCTTACAGAAGCTGCATTCCACTGGGCTATGTATATTCTTTGTGGTCTCTCCCATAAGCCAGAGAATGAGCTCATGATGACAGGGACTGTGTGTCTGGGTCATCTCTGAGGCCCCAGTGCCTACCATAGGGCCTAGCCAAGAGCAGAAGCTACATGTACTTATATGGATTAGATAGTTTGGTGGCTCTAAGGGCGGTCATGTGGCTGGCTGGCTGGCTGGCTGGCTGGCTGCTGGCTGGCTGGGTGGACAGGTAAATTGCTAGGTGAATGTTGCATATAGAGATAGATGGGTGTTGGGTTGATTAGATGGATAGATGTTGAGTGAATGGAGGGGAACTGAGGATGGAGGTAAGCGTGGATGAGTGGCTGGGTGAAAGGATGTTGAGGTCAACGGATGGGTTGAAGTTCACTGAGCTGAAGCAGGCTTGGACGTTGGGGTGGATGGTGGAAGGACAGTATGGATAGGTGGGTGTGTGAATGTTGAGGTAAGGGCTAAGTAGATAGGTGTATGGATGTTGAGATAAACTGATGGGTTGTGTAAAGGTGGATGTTGGGTGGGTGAAAAACTGAATGGTTGAATGTGGGAGCTTCTGTCCTCCAGTGGCCTGAGCAGTGCCAAGGACCCAGGACTGGGGCGTGAGGAGGCTGGGGCTCCTGGTTTGAAGGTGGCCTCGGGTGAATTATGGCCCTTTTTGTATCCATGGTTGTGAAGAAAATAAAACAAGTAAAGGGAAATTCTTTTCAAAACTCAGGTTCCCTGAAGCCCAAAAGTGCTGGATGTTAGGCTGCGTGTAGGCGGGTGTCCCCTGTTGCTGTGTGATTTTTTTTTTAATTTATTTATTTTTATTGGAAAGTCACATTCAGAGAGAAAGACAGACAGAAAGATCTTCCGACCACTGATTCACTTCCCAAATGGCCACAACGGCGAGAGCTAAGCTGATCCAAAACCAGGAGCCAGGAGCTTCTTCCAGGTCTCCCATGTGGGTACAGGGTCTTCGATGGCTTTGGGCCATGCTTAATTGCTTTTCCAGGCCACAAGCAGGATAGAAAGTGGATGGAAAGTGGACAGCTTGGATACGAATTGGCACCCATGTGGAATCCTAGCGCAAACAAGGTGATGACTTTATAGCCACTAGGCTATCACGCCCAGCCCTGCTGTGTGATTTTAGACAGTTCATTTCAGTAGCCATCCCGTGAGGAGAATGGGGCGGGCAAGGTGGGGGGTGCAGGGGTGGAGGGACTGAAGTGAGAGCCTCTGGAATTGAGCCACACGCTCAATGTAAAGAAATTTGGTCCTCAACAGAACACTTGCCCAGCACTGGATAAACTATTTCGTAGTGGTCTCATGCTACCCCTGGGCCCTGAATGCCAACCCTGGGAGCAGTTTCCAGATCCAGGATTTGGCATCTATAGGCCCAGGGTAACGGGGCACAGCATGGGACAGGGAGCAGGAGACCAGCTCAGGCAGGGGCAGGAATTACTTACCACCTCCTTCTGTGGGCTCCTCTGAAGGTGCACTGGCAACACCGGACAACCTGGTAAGAGCAGCTGGAACATCCCTGTGGCTCTTACCAGTGGATTCTGCCTCCTCCTGCCCACCCTGACATCTAACCACACCAGAGCTGAGCCAGGGCTGAGCTTTGGGCCATGACCCATTGGTCAGTGCCTGGGCCTGTAGCCCCCTCAAAGCCTGCATCTCTGGGCCTCCTCCCTGGAGTGAACATCCTGGAGTTCTTGGTGGCTGTGAGCCTGTCAGGGAAGCCTTTGACAGGTGGGCCCCAGGGGAGCCTGGCCGGGGCTGGCAAAGGCACCCGACCCTCCCCAGGGGCTCTGTAGGACCCTTTGCTGCCCCACGCCCTGTCCTCACTGGCTCCCATGTCCTGAGGTGGTTTCTGAGGTTGCCTTCCTCCCTGTCCACCTCTTTTGTTTCCCTGTCTTCCTGCCCCTTCATCTTTCTCCTGCTTTCCAAGAGTCTTAATTGCTGTGTCCTGGGCCCAAAGAGAGAGCGAGCTTGGTGGGGCACTGGGCAAGCTGGTTCTGGTGGAATACTGCAGGGACACATTTCTCCCTCTCTCTTTTCCTCCCTTCCTTTTTTCTCCCTCCCTCTCTCCTTCCTTCCCGGGACTGAAGCAGCCCCAGCAGCTCCATCATTGACCACCGTGCAAGTCTGAACAGATGCAGCTGTTCTTGGAGCCCCACTTCCTGGTACTGCCCATGTAGGTGAGTCAGTGCTCCTTCTACAGGGGTGAGCTGAGGCATAGGGGTCTGCAGAAGCCAGGGTCCTATCTACTCTCTTCCTACCTGTCTCCTCTCCCAGGGACCCTCTCTTTCTGTTCTTCTGCCTCTTAACCCGTTGGCCCACCTACCTCCCGGGGAGACAACACTGAGGCCTGGCTCACAGCTGGGTCCTTTGCCAAGAGGGAGGGCTCTGGGGCACTTGGGCAGGCTAGGGCCTGCTGTGTCATGCGGGTGAACAAACGTTGAGAATAGCAAGTTGTGCACAAGGGTGCTTGGAAAGGTTTGCGGGGAAATGGAACAGGATAAGTTTGTCTTGATGTGCAAATGTTGGAAATTCATGCAAAACTGAAGAAAGGACCATGGGAGATGTATTATGGAAATACTGTGTGTGGATTTCAAAATGTGCTCACATCGAAATGCACCTGCCTTTCGATTCTTGGCAAACTTTCTGGACCTTCAGAGACACTCCCAGCACCCAAGATGAGTATCATGGTTGTGTTTATGTATGTGAGGGAAGCTACAGTCAGACCCAGAGACTTGGGGTGGCCAGGAAGGAGGCCTGGCTCCAACGAGGATGATGGCTGTTGTGAAGTGCGCTTCTGTCTCCCTCACGCTGGCCAGGAAGAGCTTCTGCCCCTAGGGTGAAGAGAGGAGGAAGGGGAGGCCGCTGGGAAGCCCTGGGGCAATGCCCACGCTGTCATGTGCCTCGGTCACTCCAACGTAAACCTGCAGATGTATGACAGTGACAGGGAACACTGGGTCCCAGGGAAAGTTTCTCTGTTCAGGTTCAGATACCCAGAAGCATCTGGAGGCCCCGGCGTGGGCTCCCTTCGGGAGCACCTTGTCCCACGCATACAGGGTCAAAGTGGCAGGGAACAGGCTGTCTTAATGAAGTGTGAGTCGATGGCTGTCGGCTGTCTCTGGCTTTGTGTTGATGGCAGACTTTGGGAAAGAGCCTGTGGACACTTGGAGGCAATGGGGCCTCGGGGCCCACACATGGCTGCCTCCTGCCTCTGCCTCTCTCTCTCTGCCTTCCACCTTCTCTCAGGGGTGCAGAGCCATTTGCTGGCTGGCATGGGAGCTGGAGGCCAATGGCATCTTCTCAGCCTTGTTGGGTCTTTTGAGAAGTGATTCACAAAGCTGCTTCGAGACCATGTCCACAGTCATCCGCTTCAGGATCAGACTCAGTCTCTCCGATGCTGCATTTCAAGCCCTCGCAAACTGAGTTTCAAATCCAAGCTCTGGCAGAGACCAGCTGGGTGCCACTGGGCAAATGACTTAGCTTCTCTGAGCCTCAGCTTCCTGGCTCTAAAGGGGAATTCGGACTGGAACCTAACTTGGGAATGCTGGGAGGAATAAAAGAGATAACACGGGTAAAGTGCTCAAAGTGAAAAGTGCTAATTGTTGCACTGCAATCTAGAATATTCTCAACAGGAAAGTCCCCACAGAAGAATGTAGCCAGACAGCTCAGGCCCAGTTGTGTGAGATGCTGGGCAGGCTGCCTCTGCCCGCTGAGCTGTGGCTTTATCACTTGTAAACAGGACGGTTGCACCTGCTGCAGTGACGAGGTGCCAGGTGCTCACAGTCCACCTCGCAGGAACACAGTTCAGGGAGTTCCCTACAAGGCCCTGGTTGGGATTCTGGGGCTGAGCCCAGGGACGCACTCTGCTGCCCCAGGGAACCGCCCAGTATGCTTCCCCAAGGTGCACATTGGACCAGTTTCCAGCCAGGCTTTGAGGAAATCAACAAGAAAGCCCACCCACCTCTGCCCACATCCCCCTTCCCACCCAGGACTGGATTGCAAGTACCAAGGGGGCCAGAGCTGAGAAGCTGAGGGAAGGAAGGGAGCATCCCAGCAATGGCGTGTGGTGTGGCGGCTGCAGGAGAGGCTTCCCCCCCTGCCAGTTACAAATGCCAGGTGAGAGCAGGGGCCAGAGTCCCCTCAGAGTGGTCCACCAAGAAGTTTGGATTGTGGGCTCATGGCAGACTCTCCCACTGTTCCATCTGGAGTCCTGGTTTTAAATACTGTGTACCTCCCCCTCCCCCAACCAAGGGCAAAATGCAGTGGGCATCCCAGGGTGCTGAAGAGATCCTCGCCTTGGCGTTCCGTCTCCAGGGTGGCCTCAGAGCATGCTGGTCTCCCTCTCAGTCACTGAAGTCTTCTCATTTATGGATGACATCTTGGTGAAGCTTCTGTGGCTGTGGAAGGAGGAATGTCCCGTGTCTTCACTCAGGGCATTTACCAGTCGGGAGAAGAGGGTCACCTTGAACTTCTTGAAGTCCTGACCCATGAAAACGTACAGGATGGGGTTCATGCAGCTGTTGGCGATGGCAATGGCGGTGGCCAGGGGCACGCCCAGGCTGAAGACGGAGCCAGGCATGGCGCTGTGGTGCAGCTCCAGCAGGTAGAGCGTGTGGTAGGGACACCAGCAGAGGAAGAAGGTGATGATGATGGTCACGATAATCTTGAATGGCTTCTTGGTCTTGGCCAAGCGGTTGCGCCGCAACCTGCAGACGATGGTAAGGTAGCAGGCGGTAATGATGAGGACGGGGATCAAGAAGCCACAGAGGAAACGGGTGACGGTCACCACCATGTGCCGATGGTATCCCACAGGGTCCAGTCGGGAATGCGCGGGCCCAGGGGGAGAAAAGGCAGCCATGGACAGGCTGAAATTGTTGAAGCAGGAGGTTTTCCCATGCAGGTTGGCTGTGTCCCGGAAGACTAGGGAAGGAGAGCTCAAGAAGAATGCTAGGACCCAGATGACCACGCAGGCCATGTAGGCCAGCCTGGCACTGCGGTGGTTCTGGGACCAGACAGGCAGGAGCACAGAGATGCAGCGGTCGAAGCTGATAATGGTCAACAGGAAGACGCTGGTGTACATGTTGTGGATGAGCAGGAAGTTGCTGATCTTGCACATGGCCGTCCCAAACACCCAGTGATAGTCCATGGCGGCGTAGGCGATGTGGATGGGGAGGAAGACGTTGAACAGGAAATCTGCCACGGCCAGGTTGAGGAACCAGACAGTGTTCACCGTCTTCTTCATCTTGCAGGTGACGATGATGATGACCAGGCCGTTGCCCAGTATGCCGAGGAAGCAGACAAGGCTGTAGACCACCACCAGGAAGATCCTGGCCACGTTAGCTTCCACAGGAGACAGCTCCTCCAAGACCACAAGGGAGTCGAAATCATCTGGGTAGTCATCCCCGTAGGCGAGGGAGGAGTTGTAGTCTTCCTCCTCCATTCTCTGCAAGAGAGGGCAGAGGCCATGAGGGACACTGGATTGGAACCAGCTTTCTGAGTCCAACCAGTATAGCAAGGAAGACACTGCCTTCCTGGCTCTGAGAAAGGCTGCTGTAGCTTAGCCATTCCTGCTTTGGTATTTTTTTTTTAATTGAACAAACTCTCCTGTAAGCCAGGCACAAGTCTAAGGAATTGTACAGGGACTCTCATAGCCCTTCCAACCAGTCAGTGATGTAGGCGAGTTTTAAACCTCACTCAACAGGTGAGCGAATAAAGACACACAGAGTGACCAATCACAGGGCTTCTCTAAGCTTGTCCACGCTTCAGAGTCTTGTCTCCCAACAAGCCAAGACCTTTTGCTTCTTTGGATCCTTTTTTCCTTACATATTAGCAGAGAAGACTAAAAAAGGTGACAAAATTACAATTGATGCTAAGTTCAATAGAAGAAAGATGCAAGGTGCTGGGAACTCGGCCCTAGCCTACTTCCAAAACCCATGCTGACACCACCCCCAGGCTCACACGAGGTCAGTGGTCCCTTTTCTCCTATGCAGACCCGAGTCCCTCATTGTTCATGGTTGTGCTGGCCAGAGCTCTGCAGCAGAGGCCCTCAGCACACCTGTAGTTGAAAGCTTGAGGCAGCAGCACATGAAAGAAAGAGTCAAGAGGGTACATGGGGTTGACCCAATGCAAATCCACAGCTAGGACCCAGCAAACACAGAGCTGGGCACAGAGAAGACACAGAATGGAGAGCTGTGAGTTCAATGTCAGCCTAGGGGGACGTGGGGAAGGTGGTGGCGATCACCACCTCTCTGCAAGGAAGGGAGTCCTAGAGGGACCCAGAGGCAGTGGTGGAGTAGGGGTCCATGCCTGAGGGCCTTCATTTACAGCAACCTGGGAAAAGCATGGGCATAGATCCTTGTTGGGGTTGGCATGACAGGTAAAATTGCCTGGAGTGCTAGCATCCCATATGGGCATGGTGTCAAGTCCTGGCTGCTCTACTTCCTATCCAGTCCCTTGCTTGGTCCTGGGAAAGCAGCAGAAGACAGCCCAAGTGCTTGGGTCCATGCACTCACATGGAAGACCTAGAAGAAGCTCCTGGCTTCTAGCTTAAGCCTGGCCCTGCCTTGTCTGTTGCAACCATTTGGAACCTCTCTCTCTCTGTGAAATTCTACCTTTAAAATAAATAAATAATTCAATCTTAAAAAACAAAGACCCTTGCCCAAGCATGCAGGCTCAGGGAGGGATAGCCAGGTCTTGAGCCTGTTCTGTAGAATCTGAACTCATAACCACCATTCTACACTGTTCCCAAAAATCATGATCTGGGACCCAGCATGGTAGCCTAGCGGCTAAAGTCCTTGCCTTGCATATGCCAGGATCCCATATGGGCACCAGTTCTAATCTCAGCAGCCCCACTTACCATCCAGCTCCCTGCTTGTGCCATGGGAAAGCAGTTGAGGATGACCCAAGGCCTTGGGACACTGCACCAGAAGAAGTTCCAGGTTCCTGGCTTTGGATCGACATGGCTTTGGATTAACACAGCTCTGGCTGTTGTGGCTGCTTGGGGAATAAATCAACGGACGGAAGCTCTTCCTCTCTATCTCTACTCCTATCTGTATATCTGGATATCTGACTTTCCAATGGAAATAAAATAAATCTTTTTTAAAAATTCATGATCTGTCCAAGTGTGTCTGAGGAACAAATGGCTGCATCCACACTCCTCAAGCCAGGCTGTGCAGCCAAGGGATGAGGCAAAGACTCAGCTGGGGTCCCACAAGGTGTACACAGCTGGGGCTGGGTTGGACAAGCTCAGATATTCCAAGAGGCCCAGAGGATGAGCTGGTCCTCCTCCTGGGGTGGGGGACTTGAGGGGAGGGGCAGACAGCATCTCAGTTTAGTTTTTTTGTGTTTACTTTTAATGTACTTGGTGAAGGCAGAGCATCAGACACCAACAGAGACAGAGCTCTTCCGTCTTGTGGTTCACCCTGAATGCCCATAGCAGCTGGGGCTGGGCCAGGCTGAAGTCAGGAGCCTGGAACTTCATCTGGGTCCCCCAAATGGAGGGCAGGGATCCAAGTGCCTGAGCCATCACCTGTTGCTTCCCAGGCTGTACATCAGCAGGAAATGACACTCTGACACCCAGTCACGGACACGGGCCTCCCGAGGATCAGCTCACCCCAATGCGTCTCAATGCACACCTCGCATCCAAGTTTATGGGACAAGTGCTAGCGAGGAAGGAGGAGGAGGACCCACCCAATGTCTCCCTAGCCCAGAAGTCCTCCTTGCTGGCTTCCCAGGAGGAGCACTTGGCACAGCATCTGCAGAAGCATGGCCATACACAGATGATGTCACGTCTGCTCTTCAACCGGGCCGGAAGCCACTCGAGGTCATGGGCCACGTCTTTGTGCCTTTGAATCTGGGCCAAGTTGGAAAGGGCCCGGGTGGCCCTGACATCCTCTGGACGTGTCTGTCCCTACCTCACAGTTTATCCCCGCTGGGTCTGAATGCGTCAGCATCCCCTGCTGGTGCACCCCACCCCCAAGGCCCTGAGCACTCCACAGAAAGCTACAGAAGGGGGCCACAAGTTCCAGGTTGACCCTTAGCTTCTGCTCTATCCCAACACACGTCCTTCCTGTCAGGCCAGGTTGCCTGTGTGCCAATCCTGGGTCTGTAGCAACTCCCTTGGGATGCTGGGCTTCTCTGTGCCACAGATGCCTTATCTGTAAAATGGACATGAAAAGACCAGCTCCTGGTAAAGTGACGGTAAGGGGTTAGAAGTCACATGTCAAGGACAGTTACCACTTGGTGTTCATGGGACACGGCCAACATGGCCACCCCGTTCTGTGGATGTGGAAATCCATAGCCACCCAGGTCCTGAGCTCCTTGCGGTCACTCTGGGCGATGGACCACACCTCAGATAATGCACATGCTGCAGAAACTGTGGCTGGACCCTCCATCCGGGGACCCATGGTGGACTAATGAGTACTGCACATGCTCAGTGTGGACACAGTGCTTTTTTCCCAGACATTTTCCATACACGGCTGGCTGGACCCATGGATGCAGAACAACATGCATGTAGCCTGAGAGGAGGCTAGAATGGCTGCTGCTGCCACTGTCACGACTTCTGCAGCTTCCACTCATAACTCCTTCCTATGATGGCTTTGACCAGGGCACGTGGGAGGAGGACCAGGGCTCTCCTGCCCTCTTGCTTGCCCCACCCAGCAGCTTATCAGAAGAACACTGCTAAGCATTTTGCTTCTCTACACTCCAGACTCTTCACGTTTCAATCCTTGCCTCGTGTCCTATGAAATGACCACCTGTCATTTGCCAGTCGTTGATATTCAAAAGCTATAGAATTCTAGTGGCTCGCACACCTGGAACCCTCCATAGCTAAGGAAGCTCCTGGAGGCAAAAAAAAAAAAAGTCTCTGTCACTCTATATGTGGTTTCTTCCCAATGTTTGCGGGAAAAGAGAAAGAAATGTTACATTTTTATTTTGCTGTGATGTTTATGCAAATCCATGCACAGCTTTTTCTTCATATGCATTTTCCACGAGCTCTTTAAAGTTGTCTTGGAGGCATGGATTCCAGTACTATCTCTGGGCACAGAAATAAGCTCGCCACTTCAGTTCCTTTTCCACGAGCTTTCTGAGGGTCTCTTGTTGATGACATTGGTGCATCCACATAACTCGCACCCGTTTGGATGCCGTCCAAGATCCCGTGCACTACCCCAACCGCCTGGCTAGGAAGGATGGCTCCAGCTTGCATATGAGGGGAAAACTGATGCTGAATGACTCTGGAATCTGAGGAGTCCAAAGAAAAAAATGCCCACTGGCTCCCCTTGCCAGGTCAGCAGCACCCTCAATTCTCCTCCTCTGTGAGTGCCACGCATCCTGAATCCTATGGAATCCAGAGCCTCATCACATGCTCCTCCCTCCCACGGGGCTGCCTTCCCTGGGCTGCCTTCATTGTTCCCTCCACACTTCCACGGGTAGCGACCTCCTCAGTGAGGCTGCCCTTGCCAGGACAGAAACACGCTGGGAATTAGGGGAAGAACCACTGTGGCTCCCGCTGGGGGACTGGGTTCCTTCTCCATCCTTGAACCTACAAATGATTTACAAATGATCATGTTTCCCTTTCTGATGTGTCCACAAGGAGGGTCAGAGGCACATTTGTAAGTCAAAGGTAGCAACTCATTAAGCCCTGCTGGCCTGAGGCTTTCTGCATTGATTTTGGGCTGGCTGTCAGGGCTTCTCTTAGCAATACTTCATATGGTTTCTTGTCCCATGTGATAAACAATAACTGACCAAATATACCTAGTAGCCTAAATGCTGTGAAGCATGTTAATTACATTAGCTCGTCCATCTCCAATACCCTGAGCTATTCCTCCCTTTGCCATGGTGAGAAAGTGAGGCTGGGGTCACATTGTCAGTCAGTTAAGGATTCACATCTGGGTAGCCACCTCTGCAAGACTTTCGAGCTCCTGGCCTTCTGGAACGCAGAACACAGTTTTCAACATCTACTCACACCTTTTCCAGTGTCCCAGGGTCCACAGGGTCCTCGCCTCACAGGGCCACCCTCCTCATTGCCTTATTTTGCTAGCCCCTCAAAGAATCCCACCTTCCCCATTTTTCCAGGATAGTGTGTCTGAGGTCTGGGGCACACATGGGGCTCACATATAAGAGACTGTACTGTCCATCCCAGCCCTGAGAGAATACACCCAGTAGCCCAATAGAAGACACATACATATCACAGAGGCATACACACACATACTCCCTGCCTCCACTGTACACACCAGCACATGCATACACACCGACACACACAGGCATGTGCATACCAATTGTGCACACACACACACACACACACACACACACACACACTCCCTTCCTCCACAAGAGGAAGACATTTAGCATTATCAACCCCAACACCACTGTCCATAGCATTCCAGGAACCCCTCCCTGCAAATCCACAAACAGCAGTCCCAACAGGAAGGTGGGTCAGCGGCAAAAACAGACACCTCACAGGAAGGACCCAGACCCAGGCACTGGGCACACTGGGGATGAAAGGCATGCAAGAGCAGGACAAGGTCATGCTGTAGCCCCCAGACTGTGATCAGAACCAGAACGCTGGGCCTTTTCCTGCTTGACCAGGCAGGGGCAGCTGGGGAGCTCATGCTAGGCACCCGGAGCCTCCCATGGACATTGCAGAGTGAAAACTCCCCGAGAAGTACCCCACAGAGAAATGTTCACGTACGTGGTCAGTCAAGACAAGGGATCTTCTGCCTTTTCCAGCAGCAAATCCTCATAGAACGGCTCCTGCAGTGACTTAAAGATTTCAGGAAAGACCAGGGAAGGAGTAAGGAAGTAGAACTGGGAAGGGGGTAGCCTCCCAGGGAGCAGCCAGCCAGCACAGGCCCGTCCAGGAGGCCAGGTGCCTGCACCCACACACCTGGGTTTTGGGGCCCAAGGTCCCAGACCAATGAGGTCAGTCTACCACCCAAGATAGCAGGTGCCTGCTTCTTACTAGGGGTCAGGGGAGGAGTCAAGGACCCAGAACACAGGTATGTCAGCTGGAGACTGGAGGCCCCTAGTACTCACCATGAATGAGAAGCTGGGTGAGGAGAGGCTGGCAGAGCTCACAGCCGTGAGAAGTGGCAGTTGATCTAGTGTGCATGTAGTAAGTAGCATGGCACAAGCTTAGAGCTAAAGGACCTCAGGCCCCTGCAAATGCCAGAGCACACGGAAAGCAGATGCCTCAGGGCACCCACGCCCACAAAGCAGCAGCAGCAGGGTCCTGGCCAGGATGCCCACAGAGTGGAAAAGAATGTGGAGTGGGGCAGAGAGGGGAGGAAATGGGAAGGCAGCGAAGAGAGAAAATGGGATGATAGCGGGGGCTCCCAGAGGACCATGGTGGCAACAAGCATGGATGGAGAAGTATAATTATGCCAGCCCTGCTTCCTCCCCTGAGGTCCAGCGAAACCCCGAACAAACAAGCAAACACCCCGAATCCATGCCTGGGGTTCATGTTTGGGTGGTGCCAACTCAAGGCCTGGGTCACTGAATTCCTGACCAAGCCACACGGCAGGCACAAGGCCAAGCCACCAGCCTCCGGAGCCCCACTCGGAAATCTGTTGGGTGAGGAAAGCGCATGGACTTGGAGGAGCCAAGGGAAGTAACAGCTCAGGCTCAGTTGGAAGCATCTGTGCAGCGCCCCGGCACCATTCACCATTCGAGTGAACTCGGCCCCTGCTGGGGACAGGACGGTCACCAGGCAGATGGCTGCATCCTGCCCACACCCCCACTGCAGGACTCTTGCTGGGAAGGGACAGAGCCTCAAGGTCACATCTGGTTCCTCCAACCACACAGAGCAAGAACCTCAGGCAGATGCTGTTGGTTTGAATTTTATTAGAGAGATGTGTGCAGAGCCCCCTTAGCCTCCCGCCACTCTCCTGAGCACCATTACAAATGCAGAAGCCAAGACACAGAGAGGGTCAGCCACGAGCAGAGATCACACAGGAAAGCTGGACAGAGGAGCAAACCCAGGGCAAATTCAGTGTCTGTGCCCTGCCAGGCTCACCCTCCTTTCTCATCCCCTTGGAACCTTCCAGAATCCTTTGGCCTCTGCCCCTGACCCAGTGGAACCTTCCACAAGGATTTGTGCCAGAGCAAGGGGAGGTCTGTGCTTTTCTTCCCTGAGCCCCTCTCGGGCAGGGGGATGCCTGACACAGATCCCTGAAGAAGGAGCTCTTGGGGGGGGGGTCCTCTCTTACCCGACCTTTGAGGATATGGGGCTTCCACCCCAGGAATGGACCTGGATGCTGGATACAGCAGACCATGGCAAGGCCATTGCCATGGGTGGTATCTGGGGCTGGAGTGGAGGGAACTGGTGGTTTGTCCATGCTCTCCTCTCACCCCTGCCTACTTGGTGACAGTACAGAGATTTAAGCCCAGGTTTGTACAAATCCAGGACCCCGCCTCCACCTCTAGCTATTTCTTGCTGCAACTGCCTGTTGGTCTGTGTCCTGGGGGCTCAGGGGACAGCAGTCACTAAGGACCATCTGGGCAGCAGATGCTTGCCCCCTGCTTTCTCTCCTGCCACCGCCCAGTGGCTCTTTGTCAGTTGACAGTCCCGAGACAACCAGTGGCTCCTGCTTTCTCGGCTTGTCAACTGGGTCTGCTCTCACTGCTGGCTTCTTTTCCTTTGTTGCTCCCCCATCTCGTCTGCCTCTGCTTTTACCCTCTCAGTTGTTCGTCCACGCGTTCTTCTCTCCCTCTCTGTCCCATCCCTCTTCTACCAGCCCTCTGTGACCACAACCCCACATCACTCACCTGTGTGCCTGGCCCTCTCACGCTGCCTGCAGCTACTCTCCCAGCACTCTGCCTCCTCTGCCTTTGCAGCCAGCAGCGGACCCACTCCCTGCAGCAGGCCCAGGGCCAAGTGCAGGGGCCTTATCAGAGCTCGTGGGTGTGAAGGCCCACCAACGAGACTGGGAACTCGTCCCTCCCTGCTTGGCCTGGCTCAGGCTCCCAGCCCCCACCACCCCCGTGGCCCACCCTGACAGTGCAGCTGGGCGGCCTGGACACCTCTGGCAGTTCTCAATCTCCAAAACATCTCAGAGGGTCCAGGAGGCCCCTCAGGAAGCACCCTGTTCTGTAACAAGGGAAACTGAGGCCCAAGAAGGGAGAATAATGCTCCCCAAGCCACAGAGAAGAGGGACATGGAACCTGGAACTGATGTTCCAGCAGGTTCTGTTTGCTCATGGAATAGATTTAGAGGCTCAGAGAGGAGAAGTGAATATTCCAGATCACACAGCCTTTAAGTATCAGCTCAGGATTCAAACCAAGGACTGGCCTCTGCCAGGAGCACCTACAGGATCCCAGGGCCCTGGACAATGTCCCTTTTCAGCAGTGGCCTGGACTCCTGCATCCTCCCGTGCCCCCTCTCCCTCTGCCTCTGCCTCCAGGGCAGAGACAGGGATCTCTTGGTGACTCTGGGGAGTGCCAGGAACACCTCAGGAAAGTGGGAGGAGGGGGTTACAGTCCTCGGACCCTCAGGCCCTGGAAACCACACAGTGCCTGCAGATGTTCCAGCCACAGGCCTGGCTGTCGGCCCTGGGACAGAATTAGCTGCGTCGGGAGAGAATTTCCTCCGGAGTTGCACGCCCACACGTGGGAGCTAGGGCTGAGTCACCGCAGCGAGCGGGAGGCCCCCTTGGCTTTCGGGTTTGGAAGGGGCCTTGTTTGAGCTCAGGAATCCTGAGCCCTCTCAGTCCCTTAATGGTCAGAAGGTCTCAGGGACCCCCAGGTTCTCCCCGCTACTGCCTGGCATCCCTGCTCCCCAACACTGAGCCCTCAAAGCGTCTCCCCTCCTCAGGGCATCCAGCTTCTCCCCTGCTCAGGATCCAGAGTCTCCACACTACCCCCACGTTTGCCCACATCTGCTCACTGTGGATCCTCCTCAGCCCGCAGATCTGTCCCTCATTCCTGCTTGCTCCATGTGGCTGCGCCTGGCTCCTGGCCAGTCTCCTCACTCTAGCTCCAATTTAATTTTCCACCTGGGGAACAGATCTTTTCAAAATGCAAGCGATGCCGCCATATTCCTCTCTATTTACAACCCCTTAGCAGCTCCTTAGCCATCTTCAGAATCCAGACCAGCTTCTTACTAAGGCTCCTATATCCCCAGCCCAGGCAGAACAGAAACAGTCCCTGTACCCCGGTACGGCGGAAGGAGAGGGCGCTCATGGTCCGGCAGCCATTCCTCCAGCTGCAAAGATCCACAACCAGAGCATTTGGATCAGCATCTCTCCCTCCAGGCCAGAAAGCTGCCCTGGCCCCCCAGCAGGGATTTGGTGCATAAACACAAGGATCCCCAGCACCCAGCCCACACCCCATGCCATCAGGCACACAGCCTGCGCCTTCCCTAAACACTGCCCAGCCATGGAGGCAGCCTGTAAACAAATGCTCCCGTTTGCTTATGTCCCACCGGCCCGGGAGGCCCGGCACCAGACTCCGTTAATCCCCTGAGTCAGACCCCAGCCTGTCTGAGAGCTGAAGCCTCCCAGCACTCCCCCCAGCTCTGTACAGCGCTCCTGGAGGCCGGCAGACACTGGGGTTGCTGATGCAGGCTGTTCAGGATGTGGTCTGACACAGCTGCAGGGACGGCCAACTTCCCCCCACACTGGGAGCTGACCTACAGCTCGCATTTGGGGGTGCTTCTCAGCATATAGACCAGCAGCCTGGACTCTGAGGTCCCCTTGAGGAACTGGGGACCCAGCTCTACACTCCTAAGCCAGTCTAGCACAGTCCACTTTCAGTCTTACAGGACAGCCTGCAGCTGGTGCGGTCCCATACGCATTGCCCCCCTCCTGGCCCCTTGCAATAGAGGGAAGGTGGCAGCCAATGAGGTCCCAGGCTACTGTAGGAGGGCAGAGTAAGAAATGTGGACCCCAGGGTCCTTTGCTTCTGGAGCCTTGGTCTTAATCCATGTGATATGACCTCCACTACTCTAAAAAGAAGAAGATAAACAGCTCTCCAGCCCCCTTAAACATACCAGGGACCTGGCCATTTACAGGGGACCCATGGGACCACCTTCCTGGGAACGCTGAGTTAGGTGTGAAGATTGGGGTCAGCAAAATCAGGGGACTCGAAAAGTTTCTAGAAAATGGAGTGAAGAGAATTTGATGCTGAGAGTGCTGCAGGGTTTCTCCATTTTCTGTAAACTTTGGGAAGACCTTCTGTTAAGAACATCTGACTACATTTGGGCTCTGAGCACCAGGGTGGGGAGCAGCATGTATGTGCATCATCGCACCCCAGACCCATAGGACAGTGGCCTTGATGATGGCTCTTTTGAAGCTGGGGAAGTTGAGGTCCAGTGAGGGTAAGCATCCTACCCAGAATTGGGTGGCTGGTGAGAGAGAAGTGATATTTAACTCAGATCAAGCAGGTGAGGCTGCTGCCTGCAGCACCAGTTAGAATCCTAGACTGCTCTGCTTCCAATCCTGCTCCCTGCTGATGCACCTGGGAAAGCAGTGAAGGATCGCCTAAGTGCTTCAGTCCCTGCACCCACATGGGAGTCCACACGGCTTGGACACAGAGGCTGCCTGGGGAAATGAACCAGAGAATGGAAGGTTTCTCTCTGTCTCTCTCTTTCCCTCTCCCACTCCCTCCCTTCTTCCCTCTCCTGTTACTTTGCATTTCAAATACTTTTTTTTTTCAAAAGGAACCCATGTCCTTTTGCATGTATCTCACAGCTCCCACTTAGCAGATGCCCTTTGAAACATCCATGGTCTCAGTTTCCCTAATAATAAAGCCAGGCAATTAGAGTTACAAATCTCCAAAGTTCCCTCCACCTTCAACTAATACCAGTGTTGATTGGGTTCAGAGTCTGTTCTGGGCTCTCTGCTGAGGGCAATGACAGCACCACTCAGCTCCATGCTGTGCCACCCCTGGGCAAGTTGCTCTGTTCTCTGAACTGTGAAGTAGCAACAATAAAACTTTCAGGAAATTGAGATGGAAAATATCAGCAGAGAGGGGTCTTGTAGGAAGGTTAAGGTCAATCTGCAGCGTTTCCCCCCCCCACCCGCCGCCCCATGGTACTTCCAAAGAAGCACTGGGGGCTTTGCTCTGTGGCCTCAGGCCATTCACCTCTCTCTCCTGAGCCTCTCCTGTGAAATGGGGCTAAGGCCGTTACCTCCCAAGAGAGCTCAGGAGCAAGAGCAGCAGGCCAGGGCGCCGAACCTGGTGCTGGCATGTGTTCGGTGGGAGTCTGCGTAGAAAGCTGGGATGGAGCTGATCTGCAGGAATCCCCCGTCCTGCCATAGGGCTGGGCTCTGACTCTGCACCAAAGCCAAGGGTTGTGTGCCTGGGAATGCTGTGATGAACCCTGGTGGTGTCTGGGAGCATCAGGAGGCTGGGGGCCAGGCTGCAGGTCAGTGGGCCCTGCAGGGTTCCTCTTGCTCCCACATGTAGCTGGGCTGGGTGGCTAAGGGAGCTGTGGCTCGTGCTATTGCCAGCCTCTGCTCACAACCCCTGCAGCTGTTCCCAGAGCTGCCCTTCACTCAAGCCCCTCACTGGGAACCAAGCTGGCCTCTGCCAGTGCAGGTTATGATGGCTGAGTGATCTCCGGCCCCTCCTCCACGCTTCCAAACCCCCAACCCAGTTCCCTGATATCGTGTGATAATGCAGGAAAGTGGCCTAGAGGGTCCTCCCAGCAAAACCACGGGGACATAAA